CTCAGGATCATGGGATCAAGCCCCGCATGGGGCTCTGTGCTCAGCGTGGAGTCTAGTTGAGAATCTCTCCCTTTCCCTCTGCCCCTCCCCCACTCATATGTGCTCTCTCTAAATAATAAAAACTTTATATAAAAATTATTCCATGTACTTCCTGTATTAGCTTATGGTAATAACTATTAACATTAAATAAAAATTAATATTTTTACCACCTTGTGAAAAATGCAGTGATCTTAGAACATTTCCACTCCACTTATTTCCTTCCTACATAGGCAATTTAATCCTCTGTGTATTTTAAACTCCATAGTATATTATTTGTAAATATTTATTGGGGCACCTGGGTGGCTCCATTGGTTAAGAGTGCCTTCGGCTCAGGTGATGATCCCGGGGTCCTGGGATTGAGCCCTTTGTTGGGCTCCCTGCTCAGCGGGGAGCCTACTTCTCCCACTCCCTGCCCACCCCCACTTGTGCGCGCTCTCTCTAATAAATAAAATCTTTAAAAAAATTTATTTAGATTTCTCTACATATTTAACCTCTTCATTATATTCCATTTCTTCCTTCATCTACGTGGTCTCCCCTGGAATCTTTTCCTTGTGCTTGAAGAATACTCTTTAGTTTTTCCTTTATTGCAGGTATGCTATATTATCTCAATTTATATTTCTTTGAAAATGGCTTTATTCTGATTTCATTAATTTTTTTCAATAACTTTTATGAAAAATAAATGCTTTCATATTTAAGTATCTCTCTGGCTAGTATAGGCTTCTAGGTTGTCACATATTTTCTGTCAACACTTTGAAGGTATCATTCCAGTGGTTTGCCATTTCCATTATTGCTGTTTTTAAGTCAGTTGTTAGATTTATTGTTGTTCCTTTGAAGGTTGTCTTTTTTCTGTGGCTGCTGGTAAGGTTTTTTTAATCTTTAGCTCTCTTTTCAGCAGTGTTCCTACATAACAAACAATTCCGTGGACAGATTGCCAAGATCACTGCAAAAACAACTCCCATCTCAGATGCTCTTCTAGGAATCTTGCAATTCCCTTATCAGGAGATAAGAGTCTATAGCCACTTTCCTTGCACCTGATGTCTTTGTGTTTACCCTCAAACAATGGAGTACAGTTGAAGTGATGCTATGTGACTTCCAGAGCTAGGTCATAAAAAATGCCATGTATTTCTGCCATCCTTTCTTGGGACATTCATTCTTGAAAGTCAGATACCATGCTGTGAGAAAACTCAAGCAGTCTCTGGACCTGCCCATTTACACGGGAATCACAGTTGCCTTTAGGACTAGGTGGCAGGTGGAAGCTGCAAGGGCTTCAAGGAGACTGTTAGTGAAAGCCTAAAGGACCCCATGGAGGCTATTACTGAGGGCCTAAAGGAAAGCAATAAAAACTTACTGGAAGCTGAAGGCAACACTGACACTTGGCAGTCATGTGAAAAATGGAAAATATACCTAAATGAATTCAATAATCTGGCTGAGGGGATTTCCCAGCAGAGTACTGATAGTGCCATCTGGCTTCTGCTGCCTATGATAAAGTGCAAGAAAAAGAATTAAAGAATGAACTGTTACATGTGAAGGAACCAGGACTTGCCAAGTTTGACAACAATACTATTTCTCTTTCCCAGCCTCCCCATATGGTAAATTAGTCTTTAATTAAGACAGGACCTCCGACCAAAGTCAAATCCAGAGTGGGTCTGTGGGGGTACTTTGTAAAGACCTCAGAAAGATTCAAGGTAGTGCTTCATAGAACATTTCAGACAGAGAGAAGGCCCTCTGAAGATTTTAAGGTGTCCCCAGCAGATCCTATCTATTAAATAATAGATTCTAAGAATCTTAAGGGTATTACCCTCAGCATACTCACAGGGAGCCCCAGGTAGAGAATTTCTTGCCTCAAATAGATTTATAGTGGTGTGTTTTATCTAATAAAGTGAACCTCACTAAGGTTTTTAGAAAACCCACATAGTTCTTAAGAGAATTGTTCTGGTAGCAGTACAAATTTGAACTAAAATAGAAAGAGTGCAGAGAAGAAAAGAACTTTGGACTCCTGATCTTTGTCATCTAGGAAGCTGACGGAGAAGGTTTTGTTGTTACTCATTCCGGTTTTTTTTATGGAAAATAAAGGTTTTAACTCAGAGGGCAGAACCAAGAGCTACAGAGAACAACTTACAGAGAGTTAATGGGCACCACAGAATTGGCAAAATGTTCTCAGCTGGATTTCAGAATTGCTAGGGGCCAGAGGCCTGTTGTGTGCCTCCCACTTCCCCCATTTTTTTTTTTTTTTTAAGATTTTATTATTTGACAGAGACACAGCAAGAGAGGGAACACAAGCAGGAGGAGTGGGAGAGGGAGAAGCAGGCTTCCTGCAGAGCAGAGAGCCCAATGTGTGGCTCAATCCCAGGACCCTGGGATCGTGACCTGAGCTGAAGGCAGACACTTAACGACTGAGCCACCTGGGCGCCCCCACTTCCCCCATTTTTGAACAAGAATGTAAGAGTTATCTTACACCTATCCCACTATTGTATTGTGTGTGTGTGTGTGTGTGTGTAGTTGTTTCTTTAGTTCACAGGTTTTCACTTTGAAAATGATACTTGAGGAGCTATACCCAAGGAACTATACCTGAGGAGCCTCATCTGTACCTAGATGTGATATAGATGATGCAATCTTAGACCTTGAGCCTGAGCATGACACTAGAATGGAATGAGATTTTTGAGGAGCCTTGAAAGAGGGACGGGTGTATTCTAACTATGGGAGGAATGTGAACCACTATGGACAGAAGGCAGATTTTCAAAAAATGATTACAATGTTTCCCATCCTATATTCTTCTAGAACCTTGCCACTCTTCTTTTAAGAGGTGGACTCTATGTTCTCCTTGAACTTGGGTGGGGCTTTGGGACTGTCTTGACCACTAGAGTATGGCAAGAGTGATGCTATGTAGCTTCCAAGACTAGGTCAAAATAATGCCATGCAATTTTGCCTTGCTCTCTTGGGATGCTCACTCTTGGACCCAAGCCCAAGTAGCGAGTGAAAAAACTCATGTGTAGAGATATTGGGAGACCCTCCTAACCCATAGGACTGTCTGAATTCCCAGATGATGGCCACTACCAATCTCCCTGCCATGTGAGTGAGAAAAATAAATGGTTACTATTTCCCCTCCCCCCACCTTTTTTCCGAGAGAGTGTGCAAGCACACTGGGGAGAGGCAGAGGGAGAGGGAGACGGAATGTTAAGTAGTTTCCATGCTTGGTAAAGTCCGATATTGGGCTTGATCACACAACTCTGAGATCATGACTTGAGCCAAAATCAAGAATGAAACGCTCAACCGACTGAGACACCCAGGCACCTCAAATGGTTACTGTTTTAAGCCACGTTTTTGAGGTAGTTGTTACATAGCAACAGCGAACTGAAACATACCCCAAAACATTGTCACATGAAATAACAATCATTTTGCTCACAAATACACAATTTGGACAGGGCTTGACAGGTACAGTTCTCTGCTTCAGATAATCGAAGCCTTTGTTGGCTTCGATTTTAAATGGCTTAGGAGTTAGAATTATCTGGAGGTTTTTCACTCACATATCTGGCTGGTACCCGGGTGGAAATAACGCGAAGGCTGGGCTCCATTGGGACAATCACAGGAAATGTCTACAGTTGGCCTCTCCATGTATTTTTGGTTTCCTAAAATTGTCACAGCCTCAAACCTCAAACACAGTAGTCAAACTCCTTAAGGTGGCTCAGGGCTCCAAGAGCAAGTGTTCCCAGCAGAAAAGGTGGGATCTTCATAGCCTTTTATGATCTAACCTCTGAAGTTACATGGTACCAATTATGCTCCACACAACTGATTGAAACAGAAGCACATCCAGATTTGAGAGAAGAGTATAGATCTTCCACCTCTTGGTGGGAGAAATGTCAAAGATTTATGGCTATGTTATAAAACTGCCACAAATGATTTTTCTGTGGTAAGTATGGTATTCTTTATACTTGTCTTGTTTGAAGTTTATAGTTGTTATGAACCGAATGTGTCGCCTCAAAATTCGTATTTTGAAATCCCAACCCATAATGTGGTGGCATTTGAAGGTGGGGCCTTTGGGATGTTACTAGGTTTAAATGAGGGCATGAGAGTGAGGTCCCCCATGGTGGAATTAGTGCCCTAATAAAAAGAGGAAGAGAAACCAGAGCTCTGTTTCTTTGCCACAGGAGGACATGGGGAGAAAGCAGCCATCTGTAAGCTAGAAAAAAGCCATTACCAGGAACTAAATCTGCTGGAATCTTGATCTTGGCCTTCCCAGCCTCCGTAAAAAAATAAATGTCTGTTGTTTCAGTCACCCAGTCTATGGTATTTTGTTATAGCAGCCCAAGCTAAGACATAGTGCTCCTTGAATATGTGGCTTGATGTCTTTGTCAGTTTTGAAACAATTCTCAACTATTATCTCTTCAGATACACTTATGCAATGCTTTGCAGCCCTCAAAGAAAATGAGGAATGAGGCTTCTAAGAATGTCACACTATGATTTTCCAAAGTCTATTCTTAAAGCCAAGGAAGCAGGAAAATAAATCATAGTCATTCATCCTTGAAACAGAGTTTAGACTTAACTATTCTAGAGATGCTTCCCATCTTTACCCCAACTCCTCCTCCCAGAGGATTCTTCTCTGATCTCCATGAGGAAAAGGTCAGCCTGGCTTCCTTATACCAACACCTCTCCGTAGGTTTGGCCAATGAAAATTCTACCCTGCTACCAGTATTTGAACCAGTAACAAACATTGGATGGCAATTCTCCCACAGTGATTTAAAAAAAAAAAAAAAGTGACCTAGTATTTGTTCAACTTTAAATTTCATCCATGGCTCAAAGTGTTAAGTAAAAAAAATCTAGAAGAAAATACAAATTTTAACAGAGGGGATGCTTTTTACTTTCTGTGTTGTATACCTCTAATTGAATCTTCTACAATAGACATGTGTTACATTAGTAAATTAATGAAAACATAATGTATTAAAAATGTTACCTAAAATATATCATTAATATCCATGACATGAATTTAACATTATCCAGGGGACAACTGATTCACATATGATTATTAAATACCAGAATCTGACCTCGAATTTCTCATGTCAATAACAGACCAACACATTACAATTTAGGGGAAGCTATATTCTGGGTACCTCCAAGATGTTTGCAGAAAAAGGTTAGAATTTGTTTCCAAGCATCTTCCTGAGCCTTAGAATGAGCCCTGGGCTCCCCACCCCAGATTACAGATTTGTTCAGAAATTTGTGCACAGAAGCTGGGCATAGGGGGAAGTAAGGAGGCTCAATATAATGCCCAGTCCCAGGATAAGAGATGATCTGGGGTTTTTCCTTTCCATGGGCCTGTAACCGTTCAGAGGCTATTTGGGCATATAACTCACTCCTCCAGTTACGGTCATCCTGACCAACGATGAAGAGGATGGGCCCCTGGGCCTTCTCTATTGGAATCATGCTGGGGTTCTCATGCCCTCCTACAATATCATTCCGAATATCCACAATGTCCAGGAGACCTGAGAAAGCTACCTTGATTCTCCTAAAATCATAGCCCAATGATGGGATGCAAGTCTGCTTGTAGTGTATGGCTGTGTTTCCACTGAAGCCAGATCCATTGATGGAAACTGTGGCTGAGATGTTCTTCAAAAATGAGGCCATGGAAAGACAAATATCAGCCCCTAAAGAAATGCCCAGAAGCCCAATGCCTGGGCCCTTTACCTGGAAGAAAAGAAGAAGAGTCAAGAACGTATCTCATAGAAAAATGTTCTACAATGATGGCAATATATTTCATCAACATCAATTCACCTAGTGAGTGTTGATACTTTGGGTCTGAGTTAAGCTGAGGGTAGAGGCAAGATGGGGGCTGGGAAGTAGCTGTCCCTTTAGAGGCTGACAGAGAAAAAATAAAATGGGGCTCCTGGTTGGCTCAGTTGGTAGCACACATGACTCTTAATCTTAGAATTGTGAATTCGAGCCCCACACTGGGCAGAGATTACTTTAAAAAAAAAAAAAAGGTATTACCTATAAAAACACCTTTTTTTAACGTAACCAGAGATGCTAACTTTAATTTGTGAGTTGGCCACAAGAGTATCAACCTCAGCTGACAGGAGTTTCTTCCCACATAAAAAATATCTGGGTGAACACATGGCAAATGAATTGTGAACTCACTGGCAAGTCTGGGTATTGATTACAAATGTTCCAGACTATCATCCACTAGAGAATGCTGAGTCACGGAGCTTGTCAAGTTCAGGTCCTCATTTAGGTGGGCATGATGTAAGTCTCAGTGTGCCAAGGTATCTAACTATGGTGGAACCAAGTTCTGTTCTAAGTGAATGACTCACCAGACCCCATCTAAATATACTGGCAAATGATTAACTTTATAGAAACAAAGTAAGACTTCAGAGTCAGATTAAGTAGTTCTTAGCTTCTGAAATATGTGGGCAAGTTCTGATCAAAATCTGAGAACACACTGATATCAGAAAATTAAAGATTAAAAAATCAGAAAGAGTCTGCACAGAAAAGTAAACAATCAACAAAACTAAAAGACAACCTAAGGAATGGAAAAAGACATTTGCAAATCACATATCTGATAAAGGGTTAGTATCCAAAATTTAGAAAGAATTTATAAAACTCAACACCCAAGGCACCTGGGTGGTTCAGTGGGTTAAGTGTCCAACTCTTGATTTTGGCTCAGGTCATGATCTCAGGGTCCTGGGATCAAACCCTGCATCGGGCTCCCTGCTCAGAGGGGAGTCTGCTTCTCCCTCTCCCTCTGCCCCTCCCCCTGCTCATATTCACTCTTGTGTGCACTTTCTCTCTCTCAAAATTTTTTTTAAATCTTAAAAAAAAAATGTTCAACATTACTCATCATCAGGGAAATGCAAATCAAAACCACAATGAGATAGTACCTCATACCCATCAGAATGGCTAAAATCAATAACACAAGAAACAAGTGTTGGCGAGGATGTAGAGAAAAAGGAACACCCATGTACTGTTGGTGGGAATGCAAACTGGTGCAGCCACTGTGAAAAACAGTATAGAGCTTCCTCAAAAAGTTAAAAATAGAGCTACCCTACAATCCAGTAATCACGCTACTGGGTATTTATCCCAAAATACAAAAACACTAATTCAAAGGGATACATGCCCCCCTATGGGTATTGCAGCATTATTTACAATAGCCAAGATATGGAAGCAGTCTACGTGTGCATCAATAGATGAATGGATAAAGATGTGATGTATATATATATACACAATGGAATATTATTCAGCCATAAAAAAGAATGAAATCTTGCCATTTGTAACAAGATGGATAGAACTAGAGAGTATAAGGCTAAGTGAAATAAGTTAGAGAAAGACAAATACCATGATTTCACTCATATGTGGAATTTAAGAAACAAAACAAAGGGGAAAAAAAAGAGAAATCAAAAAGTGCACTCTTAACTATAGAGAACAAACTGATGGTTACCAGAGGGGAGGTGGATGGGGGATGGGTTAAATAGGTGATGGGGATTAAGGAATGCACTTGTGATGAGCTGTTGAATCCCTATATTGTTCACCTGAAATATAACACTGTATGTTAACTATACTGGAATTAAAATTAAAAACTTAAAGAAAGCACGTAGGGGCGCCTGGGTGGCTCCATTGGTTAAGCGTCTGCCTTCAGCTCTGGTAATGATCTCAGGGTCCTGGGATCAGGCTCCCTGCTCAGTGGGGAGTCTGCTTCTCCTTCTCCCTCTGCCTCTTCCCTTTGCTCATGCTCTCTCTCTCTCAAATGAATAAATCAATTTTTTTTAAATCATGTTAAAACAAATTAGAAACTCATTTTGCATAACAAATGCAAATTCCTGAATAATTCCTTTAAATAAACTTCACATGCATTTTTACAATTAATCCTGTCTTACTAAGCCATCTGACAGAGAAAGTGTAAATAGGCACCTAAAGCCAAGGAAGTCTCCAAAAGAAATTTCTGTGAAAGAAGAGTCGAGCAGCAACAGGGCACCTGACACAGGTGAGTGCAAAGTGACACCCTCCCTGGATGTATTTCTAGAGAGAATGATACAACGAAGGACATTAGGAGAACCTTGGAGTGTTGAAGCATGTAGCACAGGGCTTCTTCAAAGTAGTCCAGGTGTATGCTGTCAATTTCCTTGGGGAGATCCTCAAAGTTATAATAAGCTAGAGCCAAGGTGGCAAAGCCATGACCAGCCAAAAGGCTGGCTCGATATTCCATCAGGCCCCCTCCAATTCCAAAGATGTCAATGATCCCCGGGAAAGGTCCAGGTCCTAGAAAAGAGAATATAAAGGAAAGGCATTATACAATTTAAATTTGCTTTCCTTTCACAGATCTATTTAGTGGGTTCCTATGAATCAAAGGGAAAAAAAACACAGCTCCCCGAGTTATTATGCAAAAGGAATACAAATACCTTGAAAGGAAAATCTACAAGGTACCTTCTCATTAATGAGTTTATCCTCCATACGATTCTATAAATTATCTACAAGGTTCTAAGAATCTTTAGTTATTAAGGCCTAACTTGAGTAACAAAGTCTTTCATTACTGACTACATCATGGAAGGAGGAATTTCATGTTTTAGACAGTGTTGATTCATAGTGTTCTGTTAGGGGATTGGACATAAAGTTAAGAATCTTGAAATAAAGCTTTATGTTGTGTTGCATTGACCCTTGGCTTTGTGTGTGTGCCTACCGATATTTCAGATGTCTACTTAGAGACAGGAAAGAAAAATAAATATCCAGAGATGGCTTCAGGTGAGAAAGCCAGTAGAATCTAAAGTGTGATCTGTGGTACAGAGGGGCATGAAGAAGTGGAGAAGCAGCCCAGCGTACCCAGGGCACTACAGAAGGGTGATATGGCAATAGCTTCCTTGATTGATAGGGCTGATGAGATCTATAAAGTAGTTATTAAAACAAAGTGGACCACATACCCACCCATCCTGACCCTTTTTATTTTTAACCTGCCGAATAACAGTACTCACCTCCTTGAGATATTATGGAGAGTAAATGAGATAATGCAAGCAAAACGCATAACACAGAGCCCAACACATCAAAATACTCCATTTTGGTTGTTTGGCTACTGGCTTACTCATTGTCAGCTTCTCTGTTCTAACGGACGAGCTAAACTTAGCCTGCAGCAGTACCGGAAACCACTGGCCGCCACGGCACCCAGCCGCGCGCCCCCTAGCAGCGCATACTCACCAGGGGGCAAGAAGAGCGTGGCGCGCACCCGGCCCGCGCGCACCGGCTCCCGCCGCACGCCCGGCCGCAGGAAGTCGCGCTCGTGCACCGCCCGGCCCAGGACGCGCCGGGCGTCCGGCTTGTGGCCGTCGAGCACCTCCAGCTCCACGGCGAAGGGTGTCTGCACGTCCCGCTTCACAAACCGCCAAAACGGCTTATCCGGCTCCAGGGCCCAGAGCAGCCCCATGGGCTCGAGCCCCGTGAAGCTGCCGCCCAGCGCGGGCGCGCGCGCCAGGTCCAGGAGGCCGCCGGCGTCGGCTTGGTACCGCGCGTGGGCCCGGAAGAGCGCGCCCTTCTCGTCGCGCAGGGACGCGCGCAGCGTGACGGGCTGTCGCGGGGCCAGGCCGCGCACGGCGATGCGCACGGGCTCGTCCCAGCTGCAGCGGCCCGCGGGCTGCAGGATAACCGTCACCATCCCAGCTGCACGCGGCTGCCCTCCGGACGTGGAGCCGGGAAGCCTCAGGTCGCGACTGGCCGAAGTCCGGCCCAGGCGGCGGAGTGCGCTTCGCAGGCCCGACGGGGTCAGGCGTGCAGGAACGGTGGGTGGCGGAGCCGCGTCAGGAGGCGTCAGGGCGCTGCACACCTGTGGCCTGCGCACCCGGGACTCGCCTGAGTTAAAAGCAGCAGCAGCTCGTTTTCCCAGCCCGGGCGGGGGCGGGCCGCACGGAGCGTCCTGAAAACTGGATGTGGTGCTGAACCCTCCTCCGAAATGCTTCTCTCCCTCCAGCCATTCTCAGTTGTTGGAGTGAAAGTTGGGTAATGGGATTCGTGTTCAAACCAGAACTGAGTGAGTTTAGGCAGAATTCCAAGAATCCCAGGCCCAACATGGAAAAGGGTAACTTTTTTTTTTAACTTTTAGTGAATTATAACACACGTACAAAAAGCGTGCAAACCCTAAGCGTACAGTCCAGTGAATTTTTAACAATCAGAACATAACATACCTGTGTAACCAAGCACAGGAATCCAGAACCCTCATTACCAGCACTCCAGCAGCCACCCTCATTCCTGCTCCAGGCCTTTCCCTTGTCCGCAAAGGTACTCTATCCTATTCCAACAAAATGAGTTCTTTTATGGGAATGAGTCCTTCGGTGCGTCGTCTTTAGTGTCTTTCTGCTTTCACTCAACAGTGTTTATGAGATTCATGTCTATTGTTGGGTGTAGTTGTACATCATTTATTATCACTTCTAAGTGGTGTTCCATTTTGTGATAGGACAAGTGTTTGTCAACTTTACTACCAATGGACATTTGATAGTACTCAGATTGGGACTATATAGTGCTATGAACATTCAAGAACCTATCTTTTGATGAACATACATGTGCATTTCAGTGGGGTATATACCTGAGAGTGGAATTGCTGTATGATAAGGAATGCATATGTTCAGCCTTAGTAGACACTAAAAGTCAACCTTTTGAATAGGACCCTAGAAGCAATATAGATATAATGTTCAGAGATGCCCAGTGTTTTATTTATACATACAACAATAATAGCTACTCTTTATCAATACCCAAATGCTTTACGTACAAAATTCAACATGTTCACAAAACAATGGGAGTATTTTTAGAATATCGCTGAGAAGGATCTTGAGGCTTGGAGAATATTAAGCCACTGAAGTTATCTAATTAGTAACAGTTCCTTGACTAACCCCAAATGTGGAACTCAAAGGTGAACAGCAGCATTGTGGTGAGGGGTAATCAGAGTTCGAGCTCTGGCTTTATTAACTAGTTCTGTAGCCTTCAACAAGTTTTTTATTTCTCTGGGTCTCAGAGTTCTTGTTTGTAACATAGTAAAAGTCTCTCATAGAGGATCAAACATGATAGTGTATGTGAAGTCTTAGAGTATGTGAAGCAAAACGTAAGGTTTGATTTCATAATTGCCAGAGACTGAGCCCATGTGTTTCATTTCTCATGGTCTCCAGATAGTTGCCCTAGGTTTGCATATTGCTTTCTAAACTGCTCTTATAAGAAAAATCAAAATATATTCTTTTTTAGAGAAAAAATACATATTTTTTGAAACAGATGTAAGCAGTTCTGAAAAGTTTAAAATGTGAAATGATAGAATCTCTTCTCTTTCCAGTTCCCCTTTTCCCCTCAAAGGTGGTTGCATACATCTTGATTTTTTTCCTGTATGTTTGAAGTATGTAAGTATATGGGAGTGTAAACATACTAATCCACTGTTCAGCAACTTGCAGACCTATGTTTTCATTTTTCTGTATATACAGGAATAGAATTGATGGGTCGTATGGCAACTCTGTTAAACCTTTCAAGGAGCTGTCAGACCATTTTTCGAAGTCCCATTTGAAATCCCACAGCAGTGTATGAGAGTTGGAATTAATCTACATCCTTGCCAACACTCGTTATTATCTGTCTTTCTCATTATAGACATCCTTTGTAGTTTTGATTTGCATTTCCTCGGTGACTAATGATGTTGAGCATCTTTTCTTGTGCTTATTGACCATTGTATGTCTTTGAAAAAATGTCTATTTAGATCCTTGTCCTATTTTTTTAAGTTGGGCTGTCTGTTTATTATTGAGTCAAAGGAGTTATTTATATATTGTACATATAAGTCCCTTATCAAATATGTGATTGACAAATATTTTCTCCCATTCTGTGAGTTGTCCTTTTATTATTTTTTTAATTTTTAATTTTTTTTTTAAGTAGGCTCCACACCCAATGTGGGGCTTGAACTCACAACCCTGAGATTAAGAGTCATATGCTCTACTGACTTGAGCCGGCCAGGTGCCCCTATATTTTTTAATGGTATCCTTTGATGCATAAAAGTTTTTAGGCTTTTTTTGTCTTTGTTTTTTTAAGTAAGCTCCATGCCCAATGTGAGGCTTGAACGTGTGACCCCAAGATCAAGAGTTGCATGCTCCACCAACTGAGCCATCCAGGTGCCCCTATTCCTGTATTTTCTTCTAGGAGTTCTGTAATTTTAGCTCTTACATGTAGGTCTTTATTGAGTCAGTTTATATATGGTTTGAGGTAGGGATCCAAATTCAGTATTTTGCATGTGGTTATCCAGTTGAGTCAACACCATTTGTTGAAAAGATCATTCTTTTCCCCATTGAATTATCTTGGCATCCTTGTCAAAATTCAATTGACTATAGATGTGAGGGTTTATTTCTGGACTCTCAGTTCTATTCTGTTGATTTTTATGTCTGTCCTTATGTGTGTGCCACATTGTCTGATTATTGTTGCTTTGTATTAAGTTTTGAAATTGGGAAATACGAATCTTCAACTTTACTCTTTTTCAAGATTCTGGGTCCCTTGAATTTCGATAGGAATTTTAGGATCAGCTTGTCAATTTATGCTGAGATGCCAGCTGGAATTTTGTTGGAGATTGCATTGAATCTGTAGGTCAATTTGTAGTCTGCCAGGGTGACCATAACAAGTCCCAGGGACTGGTGGCATGAACAACAGAAATTAATTTCCTATAGTTCTGGAAGATAGAAATTCAAGATCACAAGGTGTCAGCAGGGTTATTTTCTTCTGGGGACCAGGAGGGAAGAATGTGTTCCAGACCTGTCTCTTAGCTTATGGATAACCATCTTTTTGTATCTTCACATGGTTTTCTCTCATACATGTTTGTGTCCTAATCTCTTTTTATAAGGACACTAGTCATCTTGGATTAGGGCCCCCTCATATGACCTTATTTACTTTAATTACCTCTTTAGAGGCCCTGTCTCCAAATATAGTCATATTCTGAGGTGCTGGGGATTAGAATTCAACATGTAAATTTTGGGAAGCCACAGCTCAGTCCATAACAGGGAACAGTGCCATTTTAACTAAACTGAATTAATTAAGACTTAATATTAAGTCTTCTGATCCATGAAATGGAATGTCTTTCCATTTACTTAGATCTTCTTTATTTTCTTTCAACAATATTTTGTAGTTTAGTGACTGCTTTTGAGGAAACTCAAATATAGATACTCTGAATAGGAAAATAACTTCCTATATTTTCTTCAAATACTATTATCACTTATATTTTGAAGTGATCTTATTAAATGCAACACGTTTAGAGTTATATCTTCTTGGTGAATTGAATTTTTTTTTTAAATCATGATCTTCTTTACTTATAGTAATACTTTTTTTTCCCCTTTGAACTGATGTGGACTGATTAATACAGCTACATCAGTTTTCTTTTTTGTTAGTATTTGTCATGTGTTTCTTTTTCTCTGTTTTTCCTTTGTTTTTTCTTTCTAATATTTTTAAGTATTTGGTATGTCTCCTAGAAATAACTGTAATAAATTTAAAAAACTCAAGCCTGGCATTTCATTTATGTTAATAGGCAAGTTTGATACATCAATAATTATTGATTACTGATATGTTCAGATGTTTCTATCATTTTATTGTGTGCTTTCTCTGTGCTTCTTTTGTACTTCTTTCTTGCCCTCTTTTGGATTGATAAAATTTCCTTTTTTGGCAAATGGGGATTGATTGGCTTTTGCCTTTCAAAAATGGAGGGCTAGGGGAGGGGGACTATTAGAAAAAAATAGAAACTCTAAGATTTAAAAAAAAAAAAAAGTCTTCCTGTACATAACAAGACAGCATCCGCTCTCCAGGGGCTGAGACTGACAGCAGGGGCCTCAGGCAGGCAGGCCAGAAAAAAAAAATTAAAAAGTAAAAAAAAACAAAAAATACCCTTTTTTTCTTATCTCTTTTCTTTATACAGAAATCAAACATTCTTTTTTTTAGTGGTTACTCTTGAATTTTTAAAAAGGTAACTGTTGTTTTAATGGTTACTGTTAAAATGTTAACAGAGTGAAGAGTTAATATATTTAGTTTTCTCTCAGAAAATGACAAATACCTTAGAATAACTTTAACTGTCATCAACATTTTCATCTTTCATATGTTTGTTGCTCTTTGTTTCTGTTTAATATCTACTTTGGTTTTGTTTATCAGTGCTTCTTTCCTGTGTTTACATGGCTATATTTTTATTTAATTTATTGAGATAAATTATTGGTTCTTTTATTTTTCTTATATTCTAATAAGTCTATTTAGGACTGTACTTTTCCTCTGAAGAGTGTTTTCATTATTGTTTCTTCATAACTAATTTTTTTTAAGATTTATTTATTCAGACTCCCTGCTGAACACAGAGCCCATCACAGGATTCGATTCCAGGACCCAGAGATCATGACCTGAGATGAAACCAAGAGTCAGACACTTAACCAACTGAGCCACCCAGACATCCCATCATAACTTTTAAATAGTTTTTAACTTTCTACAGCTCCTTTTTAATGAGTTATTTGGAAGGAGCTTTTGTTTTAATTGAAAACTTAAATTTTTCCCCAACTAATTTCCACATTGTAAAAGTCTAAGAGTAGGAAAGAGCTTAAAATGGAAATCAACAGTCTTTTTTCCCCACCCCTCTTCTGTCACCAAGTTCCCTGTCTTTCAAGCAGCCTTTTTTTTCGGGGGGC